CAATAAAGTACAGAGTTATGTATAGGGTAGTTTGCCTAGTTTATAAATCCTTAAATAACTTGACTCCAGACTATTTAAGTAATATGTTCAAACCATTGTCAACAATTTCCCAGCGACATACAAGAAGCACTGCCAATATGGACTTATGGATACCAAACTATAAACTATCAATCACCAGGAGTGGACTTCGGTACACTGGAGCATCTTTTTATAATATGTTGCCACCAGATATTAGATCTTCCAGCTCATTTCAAGCATTCAAGCGTAAAGCCCATGAATTGTTTTTGGATATGTATAAAAATAACTCATAAGATGTACAGTGTATGTTAATTCCAATTTTTTTATACCTATATCGATATGTAATTTATGTAATTATGTATACTGTAGTCTGTAGAAATGTAAATTGTACTGCATGTAAATATATTCGATTATATAGTTAACTTTAGAAGGTCCAGTGGAAGATTAGCGAAAGCTAAACTGGCATATTTCCTTGTAAATTAACCTTCTTTAAATAAAGTTTTAATAATAATAATTTTTAATACGTTTATTATAAACCTCACAGCCATTGATAATAAAATGGTTTGTTTGCCTGTTCAGTTCCTGCCCGAGGTAAATGTAAACTAGGGTGCCTGCAAGGTAAGGATTGCTGCGGGCATTAAAAGCAAATAGAACTAGCTTCAGTAAACAGCACAAATTATATCAAGCACAGTGATTACTCGCAGCGACTAGTGAGCTGTGAATGGAACTGAGAAGAATATATATATATATATATATATATATATATATATATATATATATATATATATATATATATATATATATATATATATATATATATATGTGTTAAAGGGCAATCAGAGGTGACAGATATTAAACATGTGCGTCTCATTGACATACAGGTAAATTAAGATCAGATTTCATATCAAGTCTGTTTACTGCTAGGCGCATTTACCACATTATATAGACTATATACACAGATTTATCACACTAAGAAACCAAAACGTTATAAAAATATAGAACTGACAGTGGCCAAAGTCCAAAACAAATGTAAGCGTAACATTAGACTTGAAAAAGCTTTAGAAATTCGATAAAAATTCGAAGACTCGAGCGAGTTTAAAATTTGTGTTCTGCGCATAGAAAGCGCGCACGACCACAATTCCTTTAGCCTGCTCACAGACGTTGTAGTTCTTACGCCAAGCGACGAAATACTACCGTCTGCTTACCCGAGCTGCATATTCAATTCCCTTTGTTTTAGCCGAGCCAATCATCTGGCAGTGTTCAAAAACATTAGAGCCAATTGGAAGCCGCCTTATATATTGAGAGATTAGCTACTGGGAAAAGCCCTTGCACATGCATTGGAATATATTGTTTGGGTTGAAACTTGAAATTTGTTTACTTGCGTGGATATATTTTGGAAACTATAGCGTTGAACTTCACGATGTTTACGTAGAATAATATTGTTATCATCTTCTCGCATGTTCAACAAACAATCGGTGTATATAAAGTGCTAAAGCAATGCAGTAGGCGAAATTAAATTTTTGTTTATAACAATGACAAACAATCAATCGGGAACCAGGATATGTCCAAATGTTGCTCTTGATACTTCCTATATGCCATGACTTCGACGAAAACTTCTAAAAGATTAAGCTCTCATTGTCATGTAGAAAAGTATAGCCAAGTTAGAGTATATTAAACGTTTCGAAGTTTGGGCGAATTGGAAAATTCATCACGGCGCAATTTTAATACAAGTTTCTCGGGTTTGTGTTGTGTTTACAGTTTACATTCAGAAGTGGTTGCTCAGACAGCAAATTAGTTTACTTTGAAGCTAATATTTCGCTTTCTAAGCCACAGTATTATATAAAATTTTCTGTCTTCCGAGTTCTGTTGTCTTATAAAGATAAACCGTTCAAATTTCAGCGAAATATATTCGGCATTTGATGCCGTCTGGCTAAGATTCATACAGTATAAATATGCCAATCCTGTCCGCGTTTTAAATATATTAAACCGAACATCTTTAATATCCAAATCTGATCATTAATGGTGCATTTTATTACCTGGACAAGTATCAGTATCTTTAAATTCAATTTATGTGCAATTTTGACCAAAATTCAACCGACGACTGCTTTCAAAATATATATTTATATTTATTCCGCTCCTAAATCAACTGACGTCACTTTCCAGAATTTGGAAGGTAAATTCTGATTGGTCGACGTAGCGGAATTCAGTTTGGCGCTCGGGTAAGCAGACGGTAGTATTTCGTCGCTTGGCGTAAGAACTACAACGTCTGTGAGCAGGCTACAATTCCATGCGCTAAATAAAATTTAGTTCAAAACCCCCTCTCTGCACATATTAGACTGCTGCTACGCTCGCTCGCTTCAGGCTCGCTCGCTCCGCAGCAATTATTACTTTGCCTTGTAACTCGACTCTGTCGACCCATTCTTTTTTCATACTACTACTAGGGGTCAAAGAAATGCGATGAAAAATGTCGATAGAGTAAACTGTCATGTATCGATGTTCGAAATTTCTCTACGTCATGTGCGCAGTGTGGCAACCAAACTCATTTTTGCTTAAACATTATTGAGACCATTTGGAAGCTCTGCAAAGGCCAAGGAAGCTCTGCTAGGGCTCCGACTTTGCGATATGAAGATCGGCTGCGAGGGAGAATGATCATGTCCACTTCTGTATTTCTCAAAATCCAGTTAAAACTGTTTTGAGGAAGTTGGCTTGCAAATATGTTTAGGTAGAAGCGAATGCCTAACGGGAACTCCCCCCCCCCCGTTGCAACACACACGTCGGTAAATTAGACAGCCGTCTTGAGTATATTTTCACTCATGAACTGAAATCCTCAACATCATGCATGCCCGAGGAAATGTGCGAGGAAATTTGGAAAATTTCGTTATTCAAATGAAATATACAGTATTGCATAAATTATCTCTGTTTCGCACATCGTGTTGCACAAGTATTCACATGTACGGACTTAAAGTGGCACTCGTGTCAAAATTTTTATTTTATTAAACAAAAATACAAATACAAAAATACAAAAACAAAAATACAGTAACTTGTTTTGAAGATTTTCGTTCCCATGCTTAATTCTTGAGATATTTCATTTTGTTTGTAACCATGTGACGTCATTTACTCAATTACACATATAATGAGATATCAGTTGCATGTATCTTTGCTATTTTTTATGGATTTGTTTAAAACAAAATTATGGTTAATGATCTAGGTTAAATTAACAAACGCGCCGCATCTTTGGAAAGATTTTGATAAAAAATAGCAAAGATACACAACACGGTTACAAACAAAATGAAATATCATGTTTCGCTCGCTACTCTGGTTTAAATAAATGATTACAAAGCCCAGTCGAATTGTAATCAAGACCCAACGTTTCGACACTCCAGTCTAGTGTCTTCATCAGGTGTGATCTAAAACTGCGATCGTGGCTTCTTAAATACCCAAGGGATGACGTCACCTGCCAAGAAGATGCATATATTCTTCTGGCAAATAGGCGCCGTCATCCCTATTCAAAGCATGATGACTCATATTTATATGCCACGCTTCTAGGCAAAGTCTTTGACCATAGCGATTGTTTGTGGTAATTACTTCAGAGTTTTCCCACGCAATCTCGTGTTTGGTGTAACATACATGTTCGGCTAAAGCTGATTTTCCCTTGTCTAAAGTTGAAACAGCCTTTTGATGTTCTTTTAGCCGTGTACCAAACTGGCGTTTAGACTGACCCAAATACACTTTATCGCAGTCACCGCATGGTATAGAATATATAGCAT